TATGTTTTGACCCAAGGATGACACTATTGAAAATGGTTCGGATCGGTCAACTTTTTCGACCACTCCTCATCCTGAAATGTCGTTAGTTTTTAAAATTTTTCACGATTCTATCTTTCGGCATGCTGAATTAGTATGAAAGCTATGGACCGGCTGGGAAGATTTTTGAACCACCTCTCATATAACGAAAGCTGAACTTCATACGACAAAAGGGTATAATTTTCAATGCTTCACTATGAAAATTATATCATAATAGTAACTTGACGTAAAAACATTAATTGGGCCAAGTTTGGGAACATCTTGGCCAATTTTTCGGATTTTACCGTAATAAGTATAAGTTCTAAGATATTGTGATAAAAATTGACCTATAATCGTAATTTCACACAAAAATGAACTCTACAAAACTTGGACCATCTGCGACTATTTTTAGATCCTGACCTTTGTAAGGATTAAACTTGTACTACGTTATGTTGCATTTTGGGCCCTCATGCACGTGAAAAATATGCCTTTATTTAGAAACAAGATCTAATTTTTGTGTTATATAATAAAAATAAAAAATGTATGAGACAATGTGATGTAGGGTATTTAACAGTCGGCCTTGCCCGACTAAAATGTCCTTACTTGTTTTATTTTTAGTCAGTACGACTGTCATTAAGTGCCAACATAAATTTCATGTCGTTCAATACGATAGCTTATAAATTAGAGCGGATTTTATAATCGTTGAATATTGTCGTATCCGCGAATTTTTAAATAAAACAGTTGAGAAGACGATCAATATCTGGAAAGGCCATCGACCTCGACCATTGATGAATATATCAAGAAATTCAAAAATTATGCACTCAGCAATCATCAATTAGATATTGGAGACCGTGTTGATATAATTGGAATTCAAGACACTTACGAAAACGAGTCTTTTCGTTTGTCTTCTCGATTTGTTCCAAAGTCAAGCAATTTTTTTTCTTCTTTTTAATTTAATTGTGAAAGTAGCTGAAGAGAAATCATAAAGTGAACGCCATAATTAATGTTAATCAGACATGGATTAATTATTGACGGTCTAATAACGTGCATTGTGAACAGATCGCCATGATATTAATTTTTATCCGTCTTTATTAGTAACAGACGGGTCAATATTACCGTAACCCTTTAAAGGATTTCAGCAAAAATGCGCAACGACTGTTCGATAAAATGCCTGCTATAGGTTTTAAGCAAAATTTTTCGCTTGTTAAGAGTCTTTCACTAAGAGTGATATTTTTTAAAATTTGAAAAAAACAACTACACGTATCACAGTAACTTGTATTTTGTTTTGAAATTTAGACATCATAGTAATGTTCTGAAGAGATCATCGTTCAAACGACTGCCCTGGCTTGGAACACACTGATGCACAACGTCACTTCAATTGTTAGTCACTCTGTCCAACATTATTTGCCTTTGTTCGGCAATAGTTTGAGGTTAGCCAAATTTTGTAATTTGCCAGCATAGATTTGGGCTTTGATATAATTCCCAAGGAAAGACATTTAAATCACATGACCGAGACAATCCGTATAGAAAAACACCGGTGACGACCCAATTCCCTGGTGAACAAACGAATCCACAATGCAACTGTCACTTTTATGAAATTTTTTTATATTTTCTTCACGGTCAGGAATCGTGAGTCGCTGCATGGTGAAATTGCAAAATTGCAAAATTCCACACCTAGAAGCGCATAAAAAAATTTACTTGAAACTGGAAACTAAAATTTCAAAAAATATGTCTCTTCATGAAAGACCCTTTACTGTATATAGATTGAGGTATAGGATGTCTATAGTGTTTGGTGTGGAGGCCTGTATATAAATGCTTTAGTCCACGGTACGAGCAGAAGCAACGGTAACCCAAACCCATGGGATGAGACAATCGTCACTACATGCAGACCAATGCGAGTCATGAAAAATCAGAGAAGGGCCACGGATACATGCTCCTCTGACAAGGCAGAGTTGAGGGTTAAAGCTGATTTGATAAATCTTTTTCAATTTCACGTTAGCCAGCATATCGTCGCAGTTGCTTTCCGATCTTCTCGGGATATTTCGACGCATTCCCGAATACCATCCCGGTTGAAGGACAGGCGCGTTTTTAGCGCCTCAAAAGGTCTACTGTGAACCAACACAGACTCGAAAATCACCACCAGAATTTCAAGTATTTAGGTCTGCTATCCTTAGGAGTGTACAAATGATGAACAAAAGGACGACGGCTAGTGCGATAGCTCTGAAATAAATTTATTATCAACTTTTATATTAAAAAAAAAAAAATTCGAAAAATGAAAACATTTTGACTCCTATACACATACACCAATCATTTAAGTCGCCTTATGGCTCTTGCATCTTATGCAAAAGCTGACATACCGCGGCACACACTATGTGGCCTGTGTATAATAGGATGGTGTTACATAACTGTTACGATGCTGCCACATAGTCTTTGATGAGTTATCATAAATTTATGAATGAGTAACATATTGTATGCATAAGCGTAACAATATGTACAACAAAAACATGAGATAAAAGGATGTTAGAAACTAAGCTGTATACGAGTATAATTTAATTTTTTGCTAATTTAGAATTTTAATCTCAACGACCAAGGCAGAAAGCTTTAAAATTTTAAATGAAGTAAAAGATAATCAGATAAAAGTTATTTTTTCTTTTTATTTATAAAATTGAATATATTTTTATATCATTCTTAAAATAAATGACTTAACACATAAACTAGTTATTGTGCAAACGTTTCAATTTTCTTTGTTTTTTTTTTTTTTTTTTTTAAGATTGAAACCTGTATGTATTTCAAAATTATAATAATTTTTGTTTTTTTTTATTTTATATATAAAAATCAATTCTTTCTCATCATCATCGGAGGATATAACAAGTCTTTCATTTCGTGTGAAACTGTTCAAAAATAAATTTTGTACCAGTTCATCTAACTGCCTGCTTGTCTGTCCGTATTGATTACAACGTTGACAAACGCTTTGTCAACAATTTGAATAAGAAAGATGGGCTAAACGCCGCATAAATTTCGCATAAATAAGGCTTGATCAACATAAAAAAAACGGGTGCAAGTTAGTCATGCTTACCCGTTGGTTTATCCGTCTGAAATCAGAAATTTATTTTCAAAAATTAAACTGGTATTTTTGCTTTTAACTCGCAAACTAACTAAACCTGTACACGGGATCATGGCTCATAAGCAGGTATCTGCAAATGTCTTTTTGTTTTTTTATTGAATAGTAACGTCACTCTAGTCAATCTTACGGCATACACTTGCACACAAGTCAACGTTGTTCCTCGATTATGTCATATTAGGAGTGCCCTTTGCACGGACACTTTTCATAATAATAGACTACGGTACGAATCTGAACTATATGGCCCTAAACAGTTATTAAGTATGGTGGATGCTTACGCTTACATAGTATGTTGTTTTTCATTTGTAATATCTATTTTTGAAACAAAAAGTATTATATTTTAATTTCAAAACATGTTTATTAGAAAAAAAAAAAAAAAACAGGATTTACGAATTATAATTTTTATCTTTTAATTTAAGTCAATTTAAAATTTCGCAAAGTGCCCGATTTAAGGAAATAACTTGCATTTAAATATCAAAAAAAAAGAGAAAGTAAGAAAATTAGATTTCGTTGCGACCGAATCTTCTATACCCTTCACCGTAATTCTAAAAAAACAAAAAAAATTTATAATTTTTTTTTTTTTTTTGGTCATTTGCTGAACATAAATTATAAAAAAAACAGTGTTAATAAACCATAAAAATATCAATTTATTACGTGAACATAAACTTAAAAATAATAATTTTTTTAATATGAAAAATTCAAAATATTACATAAAAATTTAAATCTAATTCCTATAGAAAAAATGTACTTTTAAAAAAAAAAAAAACAGATCCCGTTATAATCGGATATCGTGCACCATTACATACCTTACATCACTTCGCTTAATGTAATTCTTCGGCTATTTTCGCCATAAAATACCAAAAATTTCACAACATTGTCATATGAAAGCAGGCAAAGACAAGGACGTTATGAGTCCCATATGTAGAGTAGTGCCCATACGTGAGCCAAATTTAGCAAAACTAAATTTTTTATCAAGGAACTAATCGTATAACGTTCATAAAATACCACAAAAAGGTCGCTTCCCATAAGGACGGTTCTATATGAGGTGGATCCGGTAAATAGACCTATGCAGAGCAACCATTCCTTTCCAAGTGCACTTAGACGTCATATCACTGCCCTGTATCAATGTTTATCTCATAAACACATATGGGACGCAATTTAAATGATGATCTCATTTGGTATGCCAAAGCACTCCGATTTTTGTCAAATTACACATTAGTTTCCTGCAGCAACTTTTGTTTTTCAATATGTAGAAAAGTGTCGCAAAAATAGACAAAACGCGTTCAGTTTCAATAGACGATGCTCTTCGGCTAAAATATTTCAATATACAAAATATCATCAGAGTATTACTGAAAAATTGCAACGAAAAGATGGAAGGAAAATGTACATGGGCAGACCTCAAGCGGATACACGGGCAGGCAGGCTTTAATCGAGCAAGAAAATGAAAGTGAATCGAACGACTTTAGTAGAGACAAGTCTATCTCAAACCATGTATGTGATAGACTCCGTAGAAGGCGGAACCAAAATTTACTTACTAAAGCAAACAAGGCGACGTAGAGTAAATAAAGTATAAAACAGAAGATAAGTCTCTCCTTGGTTAACTTGAGATCAATTAGAAAAGCAATTGTCGATAAGTATCACATTTCTCCTCGAAATGACAGTTCCAATCATTTAGCCCTTCTTGATGCACTTAGGCTTTAAAACTTTCACTAGCAAGCAGATCTTTCCTTTTACTCTAATCTGTGGCAGAACTATAAGCAGGGCAAGAATGGAATATAGTGGAATAGAAGAAATCTGTCCACCAAAAGAGTTCCTTAAAAGGAGTTACTCGGTTGTCTTAGCGTGCCTCAACGCTCGCCTTCAGCACAACCTAGTCATTTAGGGAATGAAAAAAATTAATTGGAGTTTGTTAATAACTTAAAAGAAGTTCCCCGAAAAATAATGTAAAAATGGCCTACATATGCGTAGTGTTTTTAAGGAAAGAAAAAAACCATTCAATGCTAATTATCGCTTCTGTTAATAATCTTTGAAAAAAATTAATTTGTTTAGCTTAGTTGTTGCTTCTGCACACCGTATAATGATAATGATGATGATGATGATGATAATGATGATAATGATGCTGATGATCACATCATTTAAAAACAAAACGCAAGTGAATTTAAATATCAAGTTGGCCTTACGTCCAAGATTTGCGAATACGAGCTACGAATAAGTATAAGCTGCAGTGACTACATGCAGTCAACCAACTGACTTAGTTCACTAATCTGTGTTGCTTGTACTGGTTTAAAGTAAAAAAAATGCAAAAAAAAATTTTCAATCTTGGCTTAAGGTGTGTTTAGTGGTGGCTTGTTTGCTAACAAATGATTTTTTACTAAATATTGTTTTCAATAAATATTCAAAGTAATACTAAGTAATTCTTTGATTTCGATATAGTGTATGTATAATGCATACAGAATGAAACAAGTTTTTTTTAATTTTTTTTTGACATTTATTTTCGCTTTGGATCAGGTTAAATTAAGTTTGTGGCGATATATGCAACAATAGAGCCAGTTTTGATGATATTAAGCGGATCAAAATCATTTTCTGAATCGAATTAAACCTATTTCGGCGTTCAACCGAACCAACGGCGAGTTTTTGAGAAATTTTTATGAAATTTGCTGCACTCGCTGTCATGTCTTAGCCTAAGGGCCATTGATTAAGAGGGAGGATTGGATCGAACCATTGTTCCTATCGGTCACCTTATAATGTCGTTATGTGCACAAACTTGACCATCTTTTATATACAGATTGACAAAATGCTAGAATCAGTAGTATTCTCGTATACTAAATGGATTTGCGAAATTTTAGTTGGGGAGTAGTGCAGGAGGCAGGTACTTGTCAGAAATTAATGTTTTTGCATATTTTAAAATATATTTTCTAAATAAAAACCAATCAAGATGAAAGAATAGAACAAGCGTTTCTATAAGGCAAAGCAGATAAAAGTTTACACATGTATGTGTGTATGTAGGAGTTATTAGTTTTTATACGAATGTTTTAATAAATTGCTACCATAAAATTTAATTAATTAGTTGAAGCCAATCATTGAGAATTGGCTTTAAGAAATCTGTTTCGCTTTATTAGCGATTAGTCTGACCTTAGAGAGTAATTATATCATTATGACACATATAATAAAAGGGTGCCTAGACAAAGGCATGGCAACACACGAAAGCCGTCTGTGAAATCTTCCGCAATCTTTTGCAATCAAGCGTGACCTAGGTACGGTATTCACAAACCCGCTTGCAAACACACTACAATACGTACTGCCACACCACCATTGAAAAATAACCAAAAAAAAAAAGAAAAAATTACCAGAAATTATTAGCAAAAAAACTTTAAACTTTACAATTTGATTATTGTGGTTTTTTGTGTTTTTCTTTTTTTTATGGCGCATTTATATTAACCGTCCGCCCCACCTACCTATCTTGCCCTCGTAGACGATATATCCACTCGTTCATCATGTAAGTTTGACTAACTTTTTTTGTTGCTAGTAATTATTTATGTAAGTATAAACGAATGTTTATGCAAGTGTGCGTGTAGAAGTGTGCGTCATTCTTTCAAGGTTGTCCTCTGTTTCGACCAACTTCATATAAATCCATTTATATTGAAAGCGTTTTAGTCTTTTTGCTATTACCGGTACATCGTAAACACAACCTGTGATCGTGCGGCTGTGTCTCTTTTTACGTTTAACACGAAAAGTATATTAAAATGTTAGTAGTTAACTGTAGATAGATCACTCTGTAGCGTGAATTTTGTTTTCAAAAATTTCATTACTGCGAATGTCAAAACTGAATTAGTATAGAATTAACTCAATTTTATATGAAACTAATTCAGTTCTGTGTAACTAGGTAACGATGCCAAGCTTTCACTTTACGGATGAAAACAATGCTGCCAATGATAAACGAAACGATATGTTCTTGTAAAAGAAAGAGCTAGGGGGAAAAGGGGGAGATTTATTGGAGATACAAAAACACTCATTGGAAGAAAATTAAAATCCGGTAGAGAAAAAATTTGGCTTACTACAAAAAATATTGGGATAACAGAGATTTCTTTTAGGCTCGCACAGCAGCGGGCGGAGATTTGGCATTAACGTCTGATAGGAGTCTAATTTACATTTTTCTTGTTATAATCGGGAACGTATGTTAAAAATAAATATTTCACTTATTTTTTGAACATGTCAATGATAGGTAATCATGGTAGATAATTATGACAATTTATTGAAAGCAAGCTTGTAGAGGATATTAAAATATTCGATGTAGACGAACTGAACAATTTTTGAATTCCTTAAATTTTGATAGTAAAAATATTCAAGCTATGCTTTACAACAATTAAAATAATTATCTCTTTGCTTTAGTCATAAGCATGCTTGACAATATGTTAACTATATATTCTCTTATCTCATAATCAGACTGAAAATCGTAAACGATTTAGCGCAAGGACATTTTCAAAGCTTTTCATTCACTATAACCTCATTTTTTTCTTTCATTCTTAACCTGTTTCAACGTAAGCGAAAACGCCACGTGAGCAATAAGCAAAGATCCCATACGAATTAAAAATCTGTCTCCAATTAATCTTGCATACTGCATAGTTTTCTTTTAGAAACGCTTCATTTTCAACTTGTTTCTGTTGAGGTTATGTCACAAATATCTTTTTTCAAAGTGTACATAGGTGTGTATATGAGGTGATCAAATAACAGTTTTTTTGCTTTCAATTTCGACTAAAGAGGAAACGGCAAAAGAAATCACTTTCTTTTGCTTTTTATTTTAGGTTAGGCGGATTAGGTAGGAGCATTAATTTCCCTCATAAATCTGTGATTTTGTTACATGAAAAATGTTGTCTGTTACAACAATCAAATGCGTAACCCACCTAAGCATGTCCATTCCTTCATCTGCCCATCCATCCGTCTGCGCAACTACGTAGTGTTTCTAATAAATATTCTCCGGTTCACAAAAATGAGGATGTCGCCTACAAGCTTGCAACACAATTTAAAACCGAAATCCGTTCGTTTTTTGCTTTCGGTGTTTCTTGCTTGTTACTCCATTAAGTACAACACACACTCCACTTTTATTCTGAAAACAGGAAACATCAGGCGCGGCCATCCAAACTATAAATTATAAAAATTGATTTCTTTACCATTTTTTACGTCTTTTTTAGGATCGCGGTTATGGGTATAAAAGATTCGGTCGCGGCCGAATGTAATTTACTTATTTGTGAGCATTACGTTTTTAGGTTTTTAACGGATTAGATGCCTAACATCACAAATGGTTGTAAGCTCCGTCAATCGCTTATCCTGATCATAAGTTGGGTTATTTACGCGCGAAATTTACTCCGAATACGTTGCTTATATTTTAAAAAAAATCTTAAGGATTTCTTTACATTGTGCGACTACACATCGCTCCATAGTGTGTGAACAAGCAATAATGAAAAGAAATTCTGGCGGGAGTCTAAAGAAAAACAACAACAAAATTCTAATTTTATTAGGCTGTACTACTTAATAATGGGCCCGTGAATAAAGCCTTCAAGAGTTCAAGAAATAAAGACAAAAATACGGAGGACGTACATTGTCGATCATATAAATCTACCGATTACGAATTTTTAAGACTAAACCTTAAGATGAGGCGCTTAAGCTACTTATAAATTATGCTGTTCTAAAGGTTGCGTTACTTTACCACCTTGCAACTGCGAGATACTTATATTTACTTAGCTTATTATGCTACCATATGCTAGTGACGATATTTAGCAGTAGTAGTTTTTGATCTAGCTTTTTCAACGAAAAGTAGTGTTAAGCTTGTTTGACTCCTCTCCACCCCCTAGCTTTTTGCATTTACTCTTCCAAAAGACAAAAAAAAAAAAACGTTAACGTAACTGTATGTCTTTCAAATAGTTTATGAACCGCTAGTCTTTGGTCAACTAAATAATTGAGCGGCCTTTTTGCTTTCGGTGCTTTTTTTTTTACATACGCATTAAGCCTGACAAGGCTGTTTAGTGGTCATTAGGTGCCAGTTGTCTTTGTTTCTTAGAAGTTTCTCTTATCTGACCCTGTTCGAATTAAAGTAAGTTCAAAACCATTTGTCTATTTTTAATCTCTGATTACTTCGTAGTCAACAAAAAGAGAGGAAAGCAAAGTGTGCTTAATAGAAAATGAAAAATATAAGAAAAATTAAACAGAAAAATCACAGGAAAGAAGGAAAGGCACAGAAAATCCAAAGAAAGTTTAAAGAATAAATAAAGAAAATCGCATACGAAAGTAAAGCTTAACGACTAAGTCGCGAATATAAGGCTTACATATACATTTATATCTAATATAGCGTTCAAGAAGTAAGGGGAATTTTTGCTCTCTCAATACGTCTTCATATCAGTTAAGAATTGTGGCACCACAAAAATCGATATATCTTGGTCGAGTGGCTGCGGATACACCAATTGATGACATTTGCAATTTATACATCAAAAGTCCTGATATAAAAGTCCAGATTATCAGTATATTTAAATACAACTGCGAGCAACCAAGGGCGGTTGGGTCATTTAAAATATCGGCATCGCAATCTTTTACTGGAGGACTACTACCTAAGGACTACTGTCCTCGAGGTGCGCTAGTAAGAGAATTGGTCCCTCGTGGCAGATGCCGCAATTCAACTATCTCCTGTTTTCATATCTCTCCATCGTCCGATATATCTATAGACACCTATCACATCTAGCTAGTGCTTCCCAATCGTTGAAGCCAGCCGATTTGTTGATCGTACGCATTGGTTGCCACACTTGTCGTGGAATACGAATGAACACTCATACCGCTTGATGCCGTCTGATAGCTTTGGTATGTGCAACGAATTCTTTGATGGCATACGCAACTTATGCGTTACCCTACTTAATATTATTGTTAATTCTCAGAGTAAAATTCTTGATCTAATCTTTACCAATATGCCGGATGCATCCGTGCCCCCATTTGCTCTTCCTGAAGATGTTTATCACCTTACAAATTCCCTTTCGTTTCGTACTACTAGATAACTGGCAGCGAATGATGCCAAAGTCGAACGATATCTCTTCAATAAAGCAAAATTTTCTTCAATTAACATCCGGTTAAGCAATAGAATTGTATACACCGAAGCATCTAATGTGCAATACCTACTTTCTGAATTGTATAATTTAATAAGCGTAGCCATTTCAATTTTCTCTCTCTTCACGCCCGCCATGCAGCACTTATCCTATTTGCCTCTAAAACGAACCCAGTGGAATTTGAAACAAAATTTAGCCTATTTAAGAAGGTTAAAAAAAGAGTGGGTCCTCAGTTGATTTTTCAGCATATTTTCGGAGAAATTCTAAATCCTATACAGATTTGTTGAAGCGAAGCGTAAAACACGAGCGATTCTAACATTTACGCGTTATGGTAACCAAAGTACATTCTTACCCGTCTTTCCCATATTAAAATCATTTAAAGTCAGTTACTTTACCCCAGCTTGAGGAAAGAAGGCACATGTTGCGAAGGTCCTTTATGTTTGTGGTGATAAAGGGGTCTCTCTTACCTCCTCAATTATGCTCAGTCAATTATCTTTAAGCGCTTCATCTTGCTTTTCTATTCTTGGTATTATTATGTTCCAATTAGATTCCCTCAATACGAACTTGAATGACTTTCATATGGCGACTTCCTTTAGAATAAAATTTCTGAACGTGAACTGAGTTAGTGGTTGGTTGGTTAGTTAAGGTTGGGAACGCATCTGCGTCTCTGACATATTGTCTGTCAGTTTAATTATGCATTAGTTTGCCACATTTTTATCATTCTTAACTTCTTTTTTGGTTTATCTTTTCAATTTACACGCATTGAATAATATTTTCATTTATATATATTAGCTAATGAGATTTAGTAAATAAATAAATAAATAAATAAATATTATGTTCAATGAAGATGCACTAATATAAGAAGCCAAATACGCTTTTTTCTCTATCTGCATACTTTTTTCATATGAATTGGCAGACTTTTATGAATTTTGTCTGAGGAGTATCTTTGCTTTGATTTTCTTATTTATAGTAATTAGTTTTATAAAAATCACGAACGCAACTTAGGACTGATTTTATAAGTTTTTGATGATCATCAGACCACTTGCTCATTTCAAAATTAATTGCATATGTTTAGATTTCTAACGTTATTCACGTCGTAATTACAAGGTCGTCTTTGTTTTCTGTCTTTTAACTTACTACTATTATCACAACATGCATTTAGCTCAGTATAGGTCGGCGTATTGCAACTGCTTGATAGGCTTTACTATGAACAGATATAATAACGAGGGCTTTCGTGTTCTAATAAATACATAAGCTAATAGGCGACACGTGAAGAATGAGACAACGACTTACGAACGGAAGGACGTCCAAATAAAAGGAGCAAGAGAGCTGATAGCATTAGTAACCTTCACCATCCTTTATTCTCCATGTCTGTACGTCTGTCCGTCTTTGCCAACGTATAATTGCGATATTTCGACGAAATTCAATATACCGGTATTTTGACTTAAGCACAAACCTTATTACAAATGGATTGGATCGAGTTGCTTTTGCGACCACTCTCCCTATAACGCATGCTCCAATTATTTAAAAAGAAACTCGCTACATGAAAAAAAATCTGTAGGGTGTTTAATAGTTGGCTATACGCGTTGAAAACTTAATCCATTCAATCAGCCACATTGCGACTCTTCTTACCTCAAAATGGCCTACAATCCTATAAACTAAAGCATTTTATGTACTTCTACTATTATTGTAAGAAAAATCTCATTTTCAGAAAAGTTTCAAATTCTTTTATTGCATTAGAAAGACACGGCTCTCTTTTAACAAAGTCTTAAATTTTATTTATTTTTTTTATAGCGCTCGTTTTCATGATGATATCTAGACGAAAAATTATATCACGCTCCCTGGATAATTTAGATGTCATAGGCACTCATGCCGAAGAGGAAGAAGACGTTTGGTATGATAAAGAAAAATTATTTCGTGTAAGCTATTTTTGGGAGAATGTCCACTAAACAATATTAGAAAATAATTTTTATATACATTCATACAGGATCACTTAAACGAGGTGCTAGCTAAATGGGAACAAATCGATGATGAGATTTGGGCTAAAATCATTATATTCGAAAAAAATCGTCGGGTAGCCAAAGCTTACGCACGTTCATCTGTGATTTCAATAAACGGTTCGAAACACGGCTTCGACGGTGTACGCATCGGTTTAAATGGTTTTGACAACCCAATGCGAGATTCCGAAACAAAAGTGATTAAGAAATCAATAGGAGATGGTTTCAAAATTAAAATGGACGATATCGGTAATATATATGTTAAGCGTTATGGTAAAAGCGCAGTCTATATTCATAACACAAGTAACAGCAGCGAAGAATCTGTCGTAGGTGCGGATATTTTACAAATTCCAAATATGACTTTAACGGCAGGAACATCAGCCAAGGTAACGTATAGGAAGTAGTAATATAAATAAAGTTACATTTCATACTTTACTATTTATTGTAGCTTTTTGATATGCGTAAATTCACAACAAACATAAATCGAGAATATGGTCGCATTTATCCAGAATCGAAGCGTTTAGAACGTCAATGCTTATCTGCCATTTCACTGGTCAAAACTAATAATAATCTAATCAATTGCCCCCTGTGGATACTGGTCATAAATGTCGTTGCCATGGATATGTTAAAAAATCGTTTGCAAACATTGTCGAAAACTGTGGATGCCAGTGCTGGACGTTTATCCCACACTCAAACAACCACGTCGGGTAGTGAGGATCCATATTCGACTATAGAAAGTCAAGTTGGCTTAATTTATCCCACAACTGCCGCCTCCGACGAATCAAACAATTCGAATAGTTATAGCAGCAGTAAAGGCAAACGTCACAGTTCTTATAATATGGGCAGCTACATCGATGAAAATCTTTACAAGTCAAATGTAAGCGATCTTATGTATACCATTTCAATTGCTATACTTTATAGGAATTTATAGAACCTGCTAAGCTTTTCAATTGATGCAACATTTAATAATAACAATTTGTAGTGATGAAGAGACATCCTGCGTACATTATTAGAAAATTCAAGAATAACTAGGTAGGCGATTTCAACAATGACGTCTATTTATTGTACAAGGAACGAATTGGACAGACTGCACCTCTCTAGGTTTGTTCATTGATGCTTAAGAGAACTCGAGACGATAAGTTTCATTATATCGGAGGTAACCACGTATAAAGCTATGTGATTACCCCCTGGTTTACTCAGGTTGGGTCATAAACTGGTAGAGAGGGAGGGGCGAGACAAGCCTCTTTCCGCAATCACACAACAATGATTATCTATTGACTTAATAGTTATCTTCTTCTTGAAGAGATAATTTGCTGAAAATAAATCATCTATCGCTGTAATTTCCCATATGATTCATAATAAGTCCGTACGTGTTAATCTCTGAATAAGCAGCACACGACACACATGCCCCCCCAAATAATTTGACCTACGTTTTTTTTATTCTAAAATATCAGATATATGAGAAGCTCGATCCACAGAATTAATATAAAATATAGTGTTAATGCAATTATAAGAATTGTCTTAGGGTATATAGACCACATATCTCATTGGCATTGAGTCCATTCAAACTCAGCATTCAAAAAAATGGGAAAAGACACAAATACTTCTCTTAACATAAAAAGCTCGCTTTACTCTACTATTTGGTACTCTGTAGATTTGAATACTAAACCTCAATGTGGCTAAATGTTATGCTATCATAAGTGTCCTGTTATTCTTCTTTTGTGTCGCCAAAGCTGTATCCGATACTTCCCCATCTTTCGCGGCGCACAGCAATTCTAAACTATTCGCATCACATTTGCTGATTACGGCTGAATATTCAATTCCCATTATTATCGGCTTATCCCGAATATACTGAAAATTAAAATTAAAATACCAAACAAATCTTTTGCGCATCATTTTAGACTGATTATGATATTTACAATCAAAGCGTCCCTATTATGTCGCAAAGGTCAAGTAAAACGGCTCAGCAACGTAAGAAACAAGATGATCCCTATTATTGCGGTCTGTTGGCTCGTATACCGAATTTTATAAAAACGTCAAATAAACCGATGCCTGCAAAGCCTAGTAAAAAGGAGGCTAAATTAGCGCGCAAGATATCGGCTTCGCAGCAACAATTATTGCATTTACAACAACAGCAACAACAATCGATGGGCCAACCCATACCATTGGCGACTTTTCATCAGCAATTTTTGCCAGCCCAAAATTATTATCCTTATAAATTGTATGCGCAACATCATCATCGTCTATCGCAGTCACAATTATCACTATGGGATGCACGCAGCTTAATAAGTACGCAAGGTTAGTATTAAATAAAAAAGTATACATAAATATTCGATTAGTTTACATCTTATTTCTGTTTTCTCTTTTTTTCTATAACTTTCCAGAATAATATAAGGAAATTTTCATGAAAATGCCAAGCAGAGATTCCTCTAAAATATATTTTCGGAATATACTTAAATATTTTTGGAGTCGAGCATCTACCTACCGCTGCCATATTCTTCTAATATGTCGAACTAATCTTATGTCCATGCAATCGTCTAATCCTTTGCGACGACGGCGACAACGGTCATCGCATTACGAAAATTGAAAAAAGATCCCCTAGGTAGATCACTCGATGATACTAGCATTTGATCGTTGTGATTAAGAAAAAAGTTTTTTTTTGCAATATTTATAATTGTTATCCTAATTCATTTGAAATACTCGTCAAATATTTTATTCAATAATTCTTAATTATAAATCAAATATAAAATATCTTAATCTATCTGCCATAATAACTTTTTTTCTTTTTTTTTTCACATATAATACTTAAGACTGAAAAGCGTCCCCGTTTATCGTCCGAAATATTCAATTTTCTTGATGTTTATTATTATTACAATAGTCTTGTAAATATATATATACCTTTTTTTTTTAATGTATATATGAATATAAAGAGAATAGATTTCTTTTGAAATAAAAAATTTTTATAATAATTTATCAATAAATTTATAACCATATATTTAAAAGCCTTCGTTACACGTAATCATGGACGTTGACGCCAAATTGTCTACTGATTAAAAATACTTTAATAGCAAGTCGTTTACAGTTAATTCCTACGAATGAATGATGAATCTCATTATGGATATGTAATCAATGGAAAGATGCCAATAGAATAATGCTGGGGATGAGAGATAATTTTCATTTTCATTAATTTCGTAGAAAATACAGCTAATGCATAATACCCTTACGGTATACAGGACGTATTCCCACAACCAATCCCTTAAACTTAAAACAATTTTATATATATCGTCATTTATTTTTTTATGCGGTCTTTTTTGCATCGTCGTGTTTGCTCGATATTATTTATCGATTTACCGATAAGAACAAGTGCACTTTCTTACACGAATTTTTTTTCTTCGCACGAATTTCAAGAAAAATGTTGACAGTGTCTTTCAGAATACAGGGAACACCCGAACTTTTTGATCACTTTCTTCTTCATCTCGTTATTCAGTATTTATTCTGCGTTGAAGTCTTCACTTATCAAGTGGCGATGAATAGTTGCGAAATTGATTTTTATCCCCTATCTCAAATTTCAATTTTGTTATGTTGTATATACGATTTAAATCTTTAGTATACGCTAATTTTAACTTTTTCTTGTAATGGAAACGAAATGTTTTTATTTTGGAAGTACGTAATGTGGATTTCATTATTACTTTTTTGGAAGTTTCTTCGGAAAATTATTTAAATGATTGATTTAATTATGAAACGTGAATTTACTATATGTCGCAAATACTTTCTTACACACTTTTTTTGCATGGTTTTCAAAGGAACGCATCTACCACGTAAAAAACGGGTTGAATATATTAAAATAGTAAGCATTGCGATGAATTCACAAATCCGCAGCTTTTTCATATGGATTAGACTATCGACATGCTTCGGAACATTGTCACCTGCCGGCATATACGTTTCTTTACAAACCCTAAAAAAAGACAAATAAAAAAGAAACGTTGTGACTAATTATGTAATATAATTTATAATCATATTTACAGGCGAGACCCACACAACAAACAAATAATAATAATCACATTTCATTGAATTTCATCAATTGAAGAGAACGGATTGCAAAGTTGATAGTTATTATCTTCAAGAGAACAAAATATCTTCAGATACTAGTCGGAATGTTAAAATTGTAATGAAGCAAGAGAGGAACACTATTTTTAGTGATCTCAAATCAAAAGGTTCCAGTTAACTATTTTGTGGGTAATCACGTAGCTGAGACTTAGCTTTCACTAAGCGTAGCGAAAGCTACAGTTTCCATCGTGATAACCCTTCAGGTTGTTTCTCATGTCTAGGTTAACCAATAATTTTCAGTCTATTGTTTTATAGAGGACGAAGGAATACGGGATACCAATACAAACCATGCATGAGATATAATGTGAAGTAACATCGATTTAACTCAATGTTTTCAATATCAACATGGCAAGTATAACTAGAAAGCCAAACGAAAGGAGGCTAACGTTAGTCTAACTAAAGATCTTGGAAACGTACCTTTCCATTTGTGTTGAGCAGTTTGCAAAAACCTCTAAAGCGAAAGCTAACTTCCAGCTATGTGATTATCCTCTTTTAATGAGGTCAAGAGAAGACATAACATATTATTAACTGAAACTTTAATAAAACCAACAAAAGATTTGCTATCGTCCGCTTATCGTCAGCCTAATTTTAAGCGCCTCATGCGACAGTCGCTTGGAGAAAAATATGGCACAAACTCTTGCTAAATCCGAAAAGGACAAGGAGTAGCGAAAATGACACAAATCTGGCATTGGTGACAAATTTTCACGACTTATTGGCAGAGTGCTTGCTGGCGTAAATGGTTGTAACATTGTCATTCCTCTAAACAAGTTCACACAGCGCATTCTATACAGACTCAGCAGTAAAAGTACAATTCTATATAGAGTTACGTTGCAAATTGTGCAAAGTTTTTGTTTCGCGGATAAAAATAGTCATTTCAATAATAAACGAAAACGAGGGAGGTAATCACGGAACTAAAACTCAACTTTCGGTTTTCATTCAGCCATTTTGCAAAAACGTTTCATACATGATATTAGAACAAAGAGAACAAGTTGCTTATCAAAAATTTATATGAAATAAATCAATAAATACTTACATTTATGAAGTAAAATTAATATTGTTTACAAATAGAAGAGTAGCTACAAACTAGACCTGACGTCTGGACTTACTTATTTGATTTTTGGCAGTACATAAGATTTAAAAAATTTTTAAGAAAATCTCTTCGTAGATGATGAGGAAAATTTAAAATACATTGAAAAAGTACGAAAATTAATTAAAATTCAACTCTGTCCAAACGTTTTGTATAACCATCGCCTTTTGCTTAAAAGAGATGCAAACAAAAGTACCTCTATGCTCTACAATGTGGGATGAGCGCGACCAATACTTTCTTGTAATTTGTAAGTAACGAGAAAAAACTTAATTTATTTTTACTTTCGAGAACAGACATGTACTCAGTTTATCTTGTATCTTGAACATGTCTTTTTTAACGATTTTCGCATTTTCAATATCGACCTGCGGCCAAACACTTCAAGTAGTCGTCCTAACTTTGAAGCCAGTTAGGCTAATCGCCTATAAAAATGTCTTTTGTTTTTGTATTTAGCAGTTTGGCAAAAATGGAAAACTAGCTACGTGATTCTCCCGCAGTATTTTCATTTTTGCAAACAACAGAACGCTTACCATAGACGTTATACTAATTGATAATCCAGTCTAACCGATTTTTACAGACTCTTTTTAGAAAAATAAAGAAACATTTACTGAAATTGGGGCTATTAAGCGCTGATTGACAGATTAACAAATAAATGTTCATTGATTTTTCGAGAAGATGAACTGAATCTTTACGAAAAGCGCCCATGAAAGCTGCACGAACTAAAATATTTTATTTTTGTTTTCTTAAGGTAATAGATGACTGTATTTATATGCAAAAGAATTGCACAACTATAAATGGAAATGATAATATGTAAATAGGAATTGCCTTTCTTGAGTTTCTTTACACGTTTGTATTAATTATTGGTGCAATATTAAAAATCATGATGATTGGACTCCCTAAAATTTTTATGAATGTTTACATTTTTCTAGAACATACTTTTCTTTTCGGCATTCTTGGTATGGTAGATACAAAATCCAAAATGCAACTCTGTATACAAGCTTCCGAACATTTCCGAAAAATTTTCCCACCTAAAAAGAAAGCAAACTAAACAAGTAGAGACATAAAAATAAATTGAATAATAAAGAGAAGTTTTTCATTCAAACACCATAAATAACAAAGAAACGTATACAAAACGAATATTAAGTGCTTTCTATATACATTCGTTGCAACTAGTAAATAAATTTACAACGAATTATTTCGAATTATTTATTGAGATTACGCTACAAAAAATACAACGAACTTTATTTTTGAGAACTCAACCGATGGATCGTTTTGTTACACGTTCTTCGTCCATTAAGAATTTAAAGAACCTCAAATTAACAGCTGGGATTACCAAAAGTACTACCAGTACTACTACTAATGTTTACGTAGCCAAGTCGAAAACGCAGCCTTTACAAGAAAAAGGATCTAATAATTTACCCAAAAACAAGCGCTGTGATCCAGAGTTGTTGACCTTAGAGAACAATTCTAATAGTAATGATAGCGGTGTCAGTAGCGCAGTCAGTTTAGCATCCGTGGCAAGCAATAATGGTGTTCAAGAGTTAAACAACGAAATGCTCAAAAAAAACTACTTAGGTATGTACATGTGTGCACTGACAGGCAACCATTACTTTTTACTTCATTTTTTTCAAGATACGAAATTAAAAAAAACTATAAATGATTTAAAAAAACCTGAAATTATATTAATGTGATTTTCAAGCACAACAACAAAAAATTCTTTAAAAATTCGAAATCAAGTGTGTGTTAAAAATGTGTACTAAATTTACGGTATTTTCTGGTTAGTAAGAAAGAACGAGGAACGAAGCTTCCAGAAGCGCTGCAAAAATGAAAATTGTCCAGATTTATGTCGAGACTAAAATATATAGAAACATCTAGCAAGTGGCAATCCTGTCAACTGAAAATGATAAAAAAAAAGAAAGATAAACAGATAATGTAAAAAATAAGAAATATATACGAGAATTTAAAAAGTTCAATAAATTTAGGGCAGTTTTTATTTTCTTTTATCAATAAATAATCCTCTTTTTCTAAGAAATTTAATGAATTTTTATCTTTATGAAAGGGAAACTAGGCGACTATTTGGATTGTCCGGCCGATAAAGAGAATGATACTACGTTAATTATAGCACCAAATTCCAAAGCAATGAAGTTAAATCCTGTCAAAAGCGATTATTCCGTTGCCACGGTGCCATTAAGAGAAGCGCCAAGATCAGCAAGAAAACCGGAGAAGATATCTGTCAGTACGGAAAAGCAAACCCTAAAACATAATCCATCTGTTATGGCACGTATTAGTCGAGACATTAATAGCCCTTCAGCCTCAGTTCGCAGCAGAGCTTTGAAAGGCTTAAAGTTAGTATTCAAAAAAAAAAACTTCAAAGCAATTTTTCCGCATCCTTTTGTTTTTTCCAAACCTTAAGGCATCCGACTTTACATGGTTATACTCAATTTGATGTGTGCGATGAGGAACAAAGTTTTCAAATACTCCAAGAAGAAGCCCCCAGTCTGGAAGATGTAATGCGTAATGTAGTTGTCTATGTGGAAGTGCGTACCAACGAGGATAACCGCAGTGCTGGTGTCCGTAAAGTTATTGAAAATTTAGGTGCTCGCGTTAACCTAACCCTATTGCGGTAGGTTGTTTCTTTATCAATTTTATTTGTTAATTATGGAACTATTTTAAATTTAATTTAGAGATACAACTCATGTGATTTTTAAAGATGGTCTTTTGTCTACGTACAAAAAAGCGAAAATGTGGAATATACCAATCGTGTCAATTTTATGGATTGAAGCGTGTAGAACACAACATCGTTTATGTGATCCAAAGGATTATCCTATTTCGAATATAGATCGTTATGAAAATCCCGAATTGTATGCGAAAATTAAGGTAAGTAAAGAGAAAACTTTCCATAAACGTAAGCTCTTCACACATAGTATAAAAACTGCTGTCGTCCACCAATTAATTTCACTTTTTTTTTTTAATTTTGAAAGATAGCTTGTTATTTAGTTTTTACGTTCATCTTGCCCTTTGATTAATAATTGTCCCTTACAATCTATTTAAGTTATTGCTTGGTTGTCATTTTGTACCTAGGAACGGGAATAGACAAAAATGAAAATACAATTTAATAATTTTTATAAAAATTATACAATAGAAAATAATGTTAACCATTATTTTATATATAAATTTTACAAGACTGAATAGAAAGCTCTTACATAATTCCTCCAGGCGACAAAGAGACATTATTTCCTTCCAATGTCTGTGTTCAAATGCAAGGGACTTACTTTGTATGGACAGCCACCCTCTCTGGTATCTCTCAATGCTGCTCTCTATCTCTGTGTATTTATTAAGGCTTGGTTCCTTGCTTCCGGACAAATACTCATTACTTTAAGACATATATAGTTTCATTACTCAGAAGCTAAGTTAGCTTTTGATACTTACTTATGCACATTATGTTAGGAAAACTGCTTTTCTTTTATTAGTGTATATAACGCACCCGATGGAAAGGTAAATGTTACTATATGAACTCATTGCAGTTACCCGAGAAGCTTTAAAAGTTTATTTTTTATATTGATTTCTTTTCAAAATTATATATATATATATGTATTCTTCAATACTTAGCCGTTGCTAAGCTTAGGATTTTAACAAATTCATTTTAAACTTAGCACTGCACTTGTTATTAATACAGCTCTTATCAATTACTTTATCTATAACAAAATATTTCTTTATCAATGATACATGCTCCTACAAGCCAATTACAGTGCAAGGTTATGGTTTCAATTTCCTCGTAAGCTACGCAGGTGGATATATGGGCACTTGAGTTTTATTTTCTTAAACATAAACGAAATATAAGCCATGGCACTCTTATACCTATACAAGCATTTATTTTGATTATCAGGAAGTATGAATAAAATTGATTAGGATTAATAAAGAGAATTTCATGAAAAATGCAAAGGCAACGATTCTTTGAACTGGAGACAGACAGCCTCCTGTCATATGACATGTCGGGTCAGCTTATATAAATACGCATCCATATGGAAACTTGCCATAGTATGAGATATTCAATACGTGCCATACACATATATAAAATATTCCATTCTTTATAAGCAAATACTTCTGACGTGACTTATCCACGTATGTCTGTTCGCTTATTATAATTACAGTCGCAGGTATAAGAAAAAGGTTCATACAAAGTTTATAAATACGAATGGTACTTACGCGAAGTTGGTTGTCTAAAATGGCACGTAACCGAGATATCACTTGTAAGATGTCAAGATGATGACTATATATTTGTCACTTCTTGAAAATAAAGTTTCATTATCTTAACGGTAAGGAGTTGTCGGTCTTTGATGTGCATAATGTTGTATACTACTGACACACAATTACGCGCAAGTTTCTATTTATAGAACATTGAATTTCTATTTGGTATCGTTACATCTGGAGATATTCATTAAATTTACACATGCACACTTAAATATGTCTATCGACAACTGAGTAAAGTATGAAAAAAAAACTTAAAAACCTTGCGGTATTACCCGTTAATTACAATTTGCGAACTTCGAAAATCAACTCGTAAGACAATTTCATTTTTGAAGTACAAGCAAACTTATTTTCTATTTGCGCAGAGCACTCTCTAATAAGCAGTCCTAAGAAAAACTAAAAGATAAAGCACTTAATAGAAATGTTTATTAAACTAAAGTCTTATGTTTATTTTGGAACATGAATATCTTAAATTTTAATTAAAAAGTTTAGAATTTTGAAGAGAGAATTTTTATGCGAAATATCTCGATTGATATTTCTTTTCGAGCAGTAATTCTCCCCCGCCCCCCTCCCCTACTTCTACAGTCGGTACGTTTGGTTTAATAAAATGTTCTAAAAAGCTATAAAAAAAACGGACTAATGTTGTCGAATCCTAGCTGATTAGCCTTATAGCAAACATCAAGACAGAGTAATTTCAAGACACATCATTATCAAGAAACCTGCTATAGTACCCCAAGTGGCTATCGTACCGTTGCCACTGGTGTGAGCTTCGGGTAATATGTCATCCGCTACTATGTAGATCATAGCGCCGGCGGCAAAGGCCAACGCATATGGTAGAATAAGGCTCGATATGGTTACAGCCACAGCTCCCAAAATTCCAAATATTGGTTCTACCATTCCTGATAATTGCCCGTACCACAACGAACGCATAACACTGAAACCAGCGGCATGTAAAGGTAGGCTCACTGCCAAACCTTCAGGGAAATTTTGTATGCCTATACCAATAGCTAGATTGCGAGCTGCTTCAAAAGTTGACGAATTGCTAGATCCGATGGCACCAAAACCCACACCCACCGCCAGGCCTTCGGGTATATTGTGCACTGTTATGGCAACTACCAACAGCATAATTCGTTTCCACTGCGCCATGGCATTTTCTAATTTTGAACGTTCTTCATCGGCTACATAATGATTATGACCTTCTACGTCCATGCTGAGTTTTTTGCGACGCCGGGGCTCAGTATCATTGTGACTGTGCTGAACACTTAAACAGTCCGGGAAACTATTCAAACCATTGGGCTGTTGTCGAATTTCATTTATTTCTATTTCCGCTTTGTCTTTGTTGCTGTGTGTCATTTGTATCATCATACTGGTACTATTTAAACCCAAATACGACATTAATTTGTCGCAGCCATAAACAAAAACTGCGCCTAATAAAAATCCAGCAGAAACTGGTAAAAAGGCGTATATGCCGTACAATTGAGAATTTTCAGCCATTTCAATAGCCGGACTTAATAAAGACCAAAACGAGGCGGCTACCATAACTCCAGCCGCAAACCCTAAAGCGGCATCTAAAGACTTACGTTGATTGCCGCGCAAGAATATAACGCAAACGGCACCGGCAGCCGTTAAACCCCATGTCAATAAAGTGCCAAGTAAAGCTTGAGTTACGGGTCCATAACCAGGAATCATCTTACAAGTCTTGAAAAGTAAATACAAACATTTGTTTAGTAGTTCTAATTAATTGAAGAACTTATTTACCCAAAATTATTCGTGCCACGCGTTCAGATCTTTCTCGAAAATTAAGCCTCTTCGAGGATTTTTTCTTTTCTCTATTCTAGCTTTCAAATAATTTAATTTTTATTTACAATTTAATACTTAAATGTACGCATGAATGTTTATGATTGATTATCCTTTAAAAATTCAGTCACAGCCGCAATAAATTTTTATTGACGTCTGCTTTTTTACGCAGGAATTTAAAAATAATCGTTTAAAAAAAGCTTATCTTTTTTCATTAACTCTTCTTACTTTAAAATCATTTTTTTAACTGCAGAATTTATTAAATTTTTTTGTTAACACCGTGTTAAAGATTTCCATGAATTCATAGTTGCTTAGCTCTTTTTATACTTTTTTTGTACCTGTATACTCTTTAGTTTTTGTTTGCCTTTAATTCTACATTCTCTCTATATAAACAATGCATTTACAGGCGAATTTACATACACCAGCACAATACTTCACTAGCCTACGGTTATTATCAATCAATACTTCTCCAGTTTTAGTTCTCTCTTTTATACACATCTCTCTTTCTCTTATTTGCTTGAGTTGCAGAACAGAGTTGCATGTAATGTGTTAATAGTGCGAAGTCTTCATGAACATTTCTCATTGCTTGCTTAGGGAAGATATGATTATTTTACTTTTCTTTAGAGAAACTGCAAACAAATTATTATCAGATTACCCTGGCTTTTTTAACGCACTTCATTTGTTCGACTGCTTTGTTTTTTTTACTAACAACAAAATACAATGAAGATATTCTATATGATATTCTATTCCCCGGTTAGTTGTCGTTTTATATCATGAAAATATCATAAAGGATGCTATCAACTTACGGATCAAGTATGTTACTTAATTATTAGCTTGATGCGACGAATATTTCTAAGAGCTCTTAACTTACAGCGAAATTAATATTCCCTCCCCGAGTCGATATAAAGTAAATAAGTTTTTACAAGTCCGAGAGACAACAGAGTTTTTGTTGAAAATATTTTATTACCAAACAATAATACGTGCTGATAATGGCATCTAGTTTGAATACCAACATATATTTACTTATGTTATAAAAATAGTTGTCAAGTTCAGAGTAAGTTTATAACAAATTCCAAGAAATGGTCCTGATGATACGTTTAATTGTCAACTCTAATGGCGAAAACAGTATTAACTTTTCTCAAAATTCTCATTTTGAATTTTGGAATTGAAAAGGGGCTGATTTCGATTGTCATAATTTTACCAAATTGGATTTAAAAACTGTCTTTCTTCTTACTCGTAAGGAATATGACAAACTTTGTGTGTAAATCTCTCTTCGCTCTGCTTTACATCCTAATGGGGCAACTCTGTAAAAAAAGTACTTTTGCCTTTTAAGTCCACAGTTGTAAAGATGGATTTTTAGTTCACTTCCCTATGAAAACCTAACCTTCACGGTCAAAGCTAATGGGTTGTTTTTATATTTTGTAACAGAAGTTGATGCACAGTAGCGATTTAATTTATAAATTTACTGTTGTAAATTGGAATCATTTGGACCAGTCATATTATAAAGGAATTAAATGAAAAATTGTATTAAGCAAAGTGGTGTAGGGTACAGGAATCAATCATATAACATCGTTAATTCCGTGCTTTGCTGTACGGAAATCGCTTTGTACAAAACTTTCTTATTTATTTACCAAGACTAAGACGTAATATAGAGTAATATAATTTAAGCTTAGATAGAAAATTGTTTGGTATTATATCGAAAAGTATTATATGGGACTTTGAGATAATACATATCAAGGCAATGTGTGCCGTGTTATATCGAGACCAAGTCTTAAGGCGTAAAGTTTTACGATAGCTAAAATATATATATGTATGAATATACGTACATTCCTTTTTCCAAAACGTTACATTTCGCACTGATGCAGTTGCATGTAGCTGCAGCTTTTCTTATCAAACCTTTGCCATATTTTTGTTGAGATAAACTCTGCCTCTCTAGGATTGAACTAGAAGTGAACATGCTTGGCCTGATGTTTACGATGAAGCGAAATGTGCACAGTTCTTGTGTAAGGATTTTATGGCAAGAAATACTTCTGCTTTACTACAACGATCGCTATTATATCATATCGTATTGTATACATGGCACTGATAGACGGATGGGGCATAATGTGTGTCCATCTACTAAGTATGGGAGCATTTATCTGAAACAGCAAATCGACTCTGATGTTAATAAATTAAAAAGGATGTAGGTAACATTTATATAATATGGTATAAAAAATATTTAAAACACATAAGATGATGTACGAATCTCAAGTCGAGGGCTGTCACGTAATATTATGGATACGTAATCCTATCCTATTTTCATTCACAAAGAGCTCAATTTCATCTGAACATCTCATCTTCACATGTCGCCAGTTTGATAATATTTGAGGGTCTTTAAGCGTTTTCATTTCAGCTTTTTTTTTATAAGATGTTTTTGTTGATCTCTTTAAAGAAAAAAATGATGCTCTTCTTAAAGAACTAACTTGCTTTATTAGAAAGCAGAACTAGTCTTGTTAACTTATAATAAATATGCAGTATTCCTTATCGTTACTTTTAGTTAACTTTATCTCTAAAATAATCTTATATCTGGCAGAGTGTGCAACGTTATTCTAAAATCATTATATATACACTTTTACTTACCACCTTGGCCACAGTTTTTTGTTAATCTTAAAAATAATTATATATGTACAGTGCAAATAGTCATCATATTCTTCAATCTGAACCTATAAGCCACACTTCTTATTGATTGAAATATCGTCCCAAATAAAATCAAAAATTGAAATAAATTAACTTTTTCTCTCAAAATTGCTTCTCCATCATTACAAAATTTATTTGACGTATTTTTGATGTTTTTAATTTTTTCTCTTTTAAATTTTCTGTTATGTACTTACTGAAGGATCTCTTTGAATGGAAAATTTTTTTAAATTTTTTAGCTTCTTGCAGCCTAATTGAAACTTAAATGAGGTACCGATGAAATGTTTTGGGAAGGATCGGCATTTAATTAGTTCTTCCTCAAAGTTTTTTCATCAAAGAGTTCTCAATGCTCATAGTTGAAAATCCGTCCTCTTTTAAATTAGAAGCAATCGATATTATTCCGTTATATTCACAATAAAAAGTTCCCATGTAAAACAATCAAGTAGTGTCAAGAAGTGTTCAAGCGTGGCAATTCAATTGTTGAGCACGCATCAGTTATAAAACAAATTAACGATAAGATAAAAATAAAATAAATAAATAAAAAGTAAAACGAATAAACAAATAAATAAAAAATAATTGAAAAAAATCCACTCGGATTAATATACGATTTTTTAAGATTGTGTTATGCTAAAAATGTGCTATAATAATCGCAAATCTAGCACCACGTTACGTCCAAACCGCGCTTCACAAGTGCTATGTTATATGAGGAACGCCTGTTCGTAATGGTTCGCGTTGTCATATAAATTTTATGCGCGGTCAGTCTTGCAAATTTCACTTTTTAAATAGTTAAGATATTCAAAAACATTCCCTTTAAATGATCATTTATCACATATTTAACACATCTTCACACCGATGCAATTCCTTTACAAGTGAGCAGAGAGATTTTCGTTCGTGTCTCCAAGATGTATTACATTGTTAAAACCTTCAATTAGATCTCCCGTCTTTAGACCTTCACAACAAAATTATATACTGAAAGCTATCTTAAAATAATAAGGAAGTCCGGCTCATATATTCCTATAGGTTTTTTTTTTATTTTAGTAGATAATTCTAGTTCAGGAAAAATAACCTACTATTGAACGTAAACGACATGCATACATAAAAAAGTAAATTTTTGAAGAAATATTTAAAAATTTCTTTCTTATGCCTCTTTTTTTCGTAGCGTATAAAGTATATGCAACCAGGTTCTGAATGCAATAAGCGTATGCGCAATCGTGCAGGCGGTACTCCCACTTCTTCTCCGAAAACACCAAATCTTAAAAGGCATTCTCTCTTGATTGATAGTACGACGCCTACCACTACCCATAAACAATATATTACTAAGAAACCAATGGATATATCACAATACTTTAAACACGTCTACGAAGAAAAGCAAGCCTTCATTAATGGTTTCAACTCCCCGTCTACCCAATTGTTAAATAGGTAAGTTTTTACACAAAAAAGGAAACAAAATTAAATTATTAAAAATTACTTTGTTAACTTGCAGGATGCAAACCGAAGTAGCACTATTAAACACTCCGACTCCAGAACATGATGCCCGTAGATCTCTTTGTTTTGCTGGGAATTCACCAGCAAAAGACAAATTTACAAGTGCAGTTGCTAGCAATAACAACACAGTGAAGCAAGCAGTGAATAAAACGACGCTTACTCGTCGCGGCGGTGCGCTGTCGACGATATCCCAAAAAAATGGTGGTGGTAATGTAGAAGTGGACATGGATATAAACGCGACAGAAGGTATGTCCATTTGCAAAACTCCCACACTTAGCGCAAATAGACGACGCAGCTCATTATGCATTGCTGAAGACATGTCAATAGCCGATGGCGGCATAGCAGTACCAGAGACAAACAATTCGCCGCATTTAAATACGCCGAAGAAAGCGGGTATTAAAAGACGAACGCTTTATAGCATAAAGGCCATGGAACTAAGCAATATAAAAAAAAATCGAATTGAAGCTGTTGATAGTTATATAAATAACGAAGAATTGTCTTGTGAAGACAAAGAAAAGCCAAAAAAAACTAGACGCACTTCATATAGCGCATTAGCAATGGAAATTGAGGAAGAAAGTGAAAAGGGCAAAGAACACATTATGCAGGAATCTATAACTAGTGCTAGTAATACCTTATTTCGCGCATTGTCTAGAGAAGGAAGTGATGTTACTTTAACCCCCGCTATGAGTGTCGCAGACAATAACAACGCTGCAGTAGAAAAATCCAATCTCTTAACGAAGGTAGACAGTGGCAAGGGGACAAAGTCTCAAAGCAAGCAGCGAACACCCAAGAAACTTGTGGATATCAAAATTACTGCACTAACACCGATTAGCCCTGATGTTACTGGAGGCATATGCGTAACGCCATCCCGCAGTAAAACGTTGTGCATGGCACAGCGGCCAGCAACAATAGCAGCAGCCATGGCCGCAACAACAACTTCTTGCTCAACACTTGTAACCTCTGATACAGTAGATGAAGATTTCAAAACTTGCATCACACCACCGGTGACATTTAGTTCTAGCCGCCCACCGGGCAGACGCCGCACACTGTTTGACGTTTCAATGGACATTATAAATCAACGTGTACAATTAATTAATGACAAGAAAGCCAGATATTCTGTCAACGCTGTTCATGAAAATGGAATGGAAACTGCAAATAACTTTTCTCCTAATACCCCGGCTGAGCGGAAAACGAATAACCCAAACACGCCAGAAGAATTGCCCACAGAAATAGGTAATGAAGTTACTAGGACTCCCACAAATGCTTCTCCCACTGGCATGGGTAATAGTGTATTGCATATCAAAAGGAAGCGTAAACTGTTTCCACCTATTGATTCACTAGCGTCAAGAACATCTCCCTTCAAAGAAATATTATTAACCCCATCCAAAGGTATTACTAGTAGTAGCAAGATGACTGAAAAATCTTTTGCAAGACATTCATTAATAGCTAAGTCCAGCGGTATGAAAACTAAACGCCGTTGCTCTTTAATGCCCATCTCATTATCACAGCCAGAAACTGGCAATAATAAGCAGACAAAAGAGAAATTTTTAAAATCACGTCGCAGCACGATGGAATTTGAGCCTTCGAAAAGAAATGGGAAAAAATCGGAAACTTTTTTGCCCGCCTCTGAGAATTGTAAAACCATTGATGTAATTCGTATTAAAAAGGTTGAAAGCAAAACTCAAAAGCTCAAATCAAAGAAAAAATTACCAACTATGGTCCACACAAATATGCGCAAATCTGAAGTTAATGTTATACGTGAGGTTGGTGACAACTTTTAGATAGCAATGCTTTATAAGTTAGTAGATTCGTAATTGTTGTATATATATATATATATATATATATATATATGTATGTATATATACTTTGTTTTATTTTCTGTCTTGTTTTATTTTTCTCGTCATTTTTAAATTATTTAATTTTTTGTGGCTTTAATGTAACTTTGTTAAGTTTTATATGAGTTGTTTAATGCTAAAGATAAAGAAAGACACACAACAAACACAAATTGTTTCTTACTGCCTTCCAGGAGCACTATATATTCCACAAAAATCAACAATAAAAGATTTCTCCGACTGGTTTAATAAAAAAGCAAAAAACATCTGTGTTCCGTTTCTTAATGCATTTTATTTTCTTTTTTGCTATTTGTTCGCTTTTGTTATAGACCGTTAGCCAATTGGGTGGTTTCATATTGGGGGATATGGTCAACGATGACACCACCCACTTGATAACGTACGAATCGCGACGTACATTAAATTTATTAAGAGCTATGGCCCGTGGTTTATGGATAGTTGAGTATAACTGGATTGTGGAATCATCAAAAGTCGGTCGTTGGCTTCCCGAGGAACCATTTGAAGTGCATGATTTTTCAAGGGCCATAGAGGTACTTGACATTTATTAATATTATTTGAAAGCAAAATATTACGCCTTTTTCCCTCAATTCTTACTTTAGATTTGCCGTTCGGAAAAACAAGCTTTCGGTGACTTTTATAAATGCGAACTTTTCCGCAATGTCGGATCAATTTACGTGAGTAGTCGTTGTTCGCCGGTTTCCAAGGAGAACATAAAAGAATTGATTACAATATGCGGCGGTAAGGTAAGCGGTTCGCGTTCGAAAGCCCGTTACATTATCGGCAGTCCGGCCTGTAATTTTGGTGAAATTCCGCCAAAAGAATTGCTACAGCAGCAGCAAAACGGTGAAAAGTGTTACGTATCACCATTCTGGATTTTGGATAGTATTACGGAAATGCAAGTTTTAAAATTGCAGAAGTACGCCTTTAAACCGTAATGCGCAATAATACCTAGGCAAATGATTTATCTTTGAAGCCTTTTGTTATTATTTTTAATGTCTCTTTATCATATATTTATTTATACATTTAATAATTTTCTCTCAATAAAGTGCATTTTTATAATCGGGAGGACAATGTGCAAGGTAAGGGAAATCCACTGCAAAAACGAGCTTCGTAACTCTGATATGGATTTTTTTTTTTATTTTAATTACCAAACCTTTACAGAAAGCAAACATACTCCAGGTTTATAAAATAATTTGTTAAATTTGGAGCGCAAATAGTAATTACTAAAGAATAGTATGTCGTGATAAGATAACTATAGCTCGGGTGTGGCTCAGGACTGTCCAGAGGTCCATTTCAAGACGTTTTTTATGAAAGTTAAAAGAATCTTCGCATTTTTGGTTACGGCATGTAGTTTTATATATTTTACGGTGTTATTTCAGAAGACTGACTGAGGAGATTAGGGGATTTGCGGCTTGTGGTAATTATGTTGCATCAGAGGAAATATAACGTGTGAATATAACAAATCAAAATTAGAGTATAGCTGACAATATGAATATATATATATATATTCAGGTTCAAGCGTAAGGAGTGAGTTCAATGGAGTATACGCATACACATAAAGTGTAGATAAGTGTAGTCTTTGGGGGCGGTAAGGAAGGGCTGCTTCCTTACATCCTCTCCTCACGTCGGAAATGGACAAGTACCTGGCTTATTCCTAGCCTGGCTCTCAAAATTAGATGCCATGTTTCACGTCATTGTATAAAAAACACCCACGATTTCCTGTGTCCGAAAATTCGGCTGTTGGTAGATGTCGTATTCTTTAGGCCATGCTTGCCATTTTGGATCATTATGTCGTGGTGGGAACTGTTCTGCACTGTGCAGTGCAGAAGATTCGGGACGGTGGGTAGTACGCTCGTAGCTGGCTGCGCTATCATTCATGAACATGTCCCCAAATTGGGAACTACCCCGACCATTGAAGCCACAGTCGCCTGGAGACATATCTCCCACCACACTACAGTCCCAACAGAGTAGTATTTCTATCCCTTTTGGTATTTCTATCCGAGACAGACACTGCACCGTCAGGTCTTATTTTTCGGTTGTGGACGGTTTGTTGATTGATTGTGACGCATTGAGTTTTGCATTCGCAAGGCGTATGATTTGAACGCTGCACTTTTCCTCTGAGATACCTGGCGAAGTTGGTCATCCATTCTTTTTGAGATTATAGACTTGATTGTATCAGCGTTTTCTTAATGTAGAAACTTAACAGTTGCATAAGATGCTGTAGGCTGCTGCAGAGTGTAGGTGCACCTGTGTCATGACACCAAGAGGATCATATTTCAATGTGAGCACAAGCGTTGGAGGCAATATAACTGGGAATCTTCTGAAGTAAAAAAGCGCATATGTAGTTACTAAAGAACTTTTACGTATTGAAAAGTAATTTTCGGGTGTGGCATGTGAACGCAAATTGGTATTGTCGTTGCAGTCAATGAAGAACGTTACAAGATATTTGATATTTGCGGCAAGCAGATCTTTTTGACTTGGCTTCAAAAACTGGAGCAAAATGCCATACATTGGCTTTTGACACAAGAACGCTTTAATTATATTCCCACGCTTGGGGACGACATTTAATTTCTATATTTTTCTTAAAGAAGTAAAAAATTTTGATTATATATGTCTACATACATTAGTTATATACATAACTCATAAATTCATGAAATTTGTAAAGCCAATGCCTTCTTCAGACGCGGCTATATAAGAGAAACTTCGTTGTGCCAATAGCCGGTCCGTGATAAAATCGAATTATTGGAAGAAAATTCAAAAATACCGATGTGAGCTCACCACAAAGATCATGCGATAAAATTCGGTTCGACTTTTTTTGTTGGAATATTCGCTCACATCAATAAACCACGAACTTTCAGTGACCTTATTCACCAAGATCGTTCATTGGGGTTTATTGGGGAAGTAAGAGCCGATTTATATGGAAAACGGCTTAAAATTTTTGACCTAGGATTGTATTTTTACAAAAGTTCTTTACATTAAGACATTTACCTGAATTCGTTTCTAAACGAAAACGGCGTGTGAACCAATATCGACAGCAATATAAAAGTTCATGTTAGCGCCTCTTACCGCGTAGTTTTTGTTACAAAATGAAAAAAATAAAAATAAATTAATTGCTGGCCCAATATTGTTGAACTTACATGAATTAATTACAGCACCTCACAAAGTATAAGGTTATATTCTCTTTGGAATTTCAAAAAATTCCTTTTTTTCGTGTAGCAGTCTGAACTAGATTCTAGGGGAGGAGGAAAGTTGTTCGATTAGTAGTTTATAGACTGCTTTTGGACCACTACTTTATGTCCTACCTCGAATGTTAATTGTTTTTTGCTCAAAACTCGATTTTGAAAGTCGGTGCGCACGATTTCGTAGAATTTTTAACTTTAGATAAGGCTGCCACGTCTTTTTCTGTCGGTCATTGGGACCGACTCGGTCAAAGCATCTTCCAAAACGACCATCTTGACAGTTTATTTTTCAAAATTTTTAAATTAAAATTTTATAAAATGTTTAATGGTATGCTTTTATATGCTTAAAAATTTCAATAAAATGATTATTTTTAATGTATTAAAATATTTAGAGCAGTATAGTGGAGCATGGCACATCGGCAAATACCCTACACCATATTGCAATTATTCATAAATTTACTTTTCAAAATAATGCGTCATACGGAAAGTGGTCCAATCCAAATTATTTTCAATAATGCTAAAACACATCATTATATTAGGTTTCATCAAAATATCTGAAAAATTTGCGGGCAGCAGGTTGAATAAAACACAACAAACAGACAAACAAGCCTAAATCGATCCCGTATCGATTGGTATAATAAAAGGTGGATCTACTTCAAGTCGTAGTTGCTGCACACATCCGCATAAACTAAATATGCCATTGTATCACAATTGATTTATATGAGGGTATAAAAGAATTAGTATCATACCTTAAATTATAGATAGTATTTTAAAGTCGAATGTCCTTGTAGAAGCTAATCTCGATGGTTTATCAAAAAAGTTGCTCCTTTATTGAGTTTACTAATTAACTGTGATTATTTTCATCTCCTAACTTTGGATGGCTCAGGCAAACACTTATTCATCATTTTTAATGGTAGCAAATTTTGATTTTAATTTTTGAAATTTTACACAGGTATCTCTCTATAAATTCATGTGTATTTACTAAATAAAATAAATATTTAATAAAATAATAAATATTAAAAATAAATACACATG